TTTTTTTGATAGTTTTGGAAACTTGCTAGACAGTTTTCCACCAGCGATAAAGATGTTTCTTCTAAAAAACTGTTCCACTATTTTATATTCAACATTGTGTACTTTTTTAAATTTCATATACAAAATGCTTAACATGTATTCTACTAATTTAATTTGTAACGATGCTATGGTGTGTCGCTTTGTCAACAACCTACAACCTGTGGCAGTATGCAGCGATTATGTGTGTGTGCAACGCGGATACTGATATGTACTAGTGACAATAATAAAAGACAATATAAGAGCATGATTTAATCGAGTCAATGGTATTTATTATCAAAATTTTCACGTATATTATACAGTCACACCATACTTGCTTCAAGAGTAATAAAGAAATCAAACGTTAAACAGTAATAATAGAAAAACATATATTAACATTAATAAAAGAAAACAATCTAGCAGCAGTTAGTGGAAAAAAAATTACAGTAGAAAAACAACAATCAGCAAATATTGTTGGCAGAAAAAAAACATTTCAGCTGTAATAAGAAATAGTCTGAATTCAAAAATCCAACCACTCAGCAGGACCAACCTTTAATTTATTTTTTTTATTATTATTTTTTTAATGTACTATCACGCAGTGGGCTGCCCTGTGTGTTCTTTTTTGGTGTGTGTTTTAAAAAAACAGGGTCAGTCAGTGTGTGATCAGTTTTATACAAGGCAATGGTCTTACGTATGCCGGTGTTGGATATGGCTGATAACGGTATGTTTAAATCTGAAACAGCCTTTAAAAACTCTGTCCAGCCTAAAGGTCTGAAACCCTCAGAAGGTGTGTGTGTGGTTGTGATGGCTTTAATCAGATCATAAATGTGCAAACCCGGGATGGTGTGTTTATCAACAACAATTTTGCCTTTGTCACTTTAAGAAATCAAGTCTGGCGAACGGTTCAGAACTGATAGAATGAGTTCTGCATTCCTCCTACTCCTTTATGTGTGTCAAAACATTCTCTGCAATAAAATCCTTCACCCCAGCATCACCATAAACAGGCTGGGTGTCCGCAGGTTGGGTTTGCACATCTTCTTTTTATTATCTACTATGTGATCCTCCACACCTCCCTCTCCAGAATCTAATTTGCTGGTGAGATCCCCCAGAAAAGGGCCTAGAGGAGGTATCCAGTCGTCAGGGCGTGCCGTGAAAAAGACGCTGTCTGTATCACAATACAGCACGTGCTGCTGCAAGTTGTCTAACAAATCATAGAGCATGAGTCTGGCGTGTGCAGTGGTCATGGCTCCCACAAAGACATTAACGTCCTTCATGCGGGATGCTCTACCATCAGCGTGTCGCCACTGCACCATGGCGACGTCGTCAGAGATGAAACAAAACTGCAGCACGTCGTACTGGTCACTGAACATTAGCTGGCTAAACCTGGATGAGTCTGTGATGAGCTCAGATGACGCCATATTTGACCTCATACTGAAATGACCCCATAGCGAGTCCAGCAACAGCTTGTTACAGTTTTGAACAACTTTATTTACACATATCTTGGATGGATCTAGTACTTCTGCTGTTCGTCAGGTGTTTTCACATGTTCTGGATACCCTGAGGCCTCCTGTTTAAGTTTTAGAAAGGCTTTCACATAGTCTTTAAACAATGTGTCAGTCTTGTTGGGGAATTGTCACATCTCATCAATAGAAACAAGCCTATATCCTTAACAGCTTTTTCAAGCTCAAATGAGACCCATGTGCTTTTCAACACCCCTCACTGTCACTGTGCCCACATGCTGTGTGCTGGTTCTGGTCTTCAGCGCACATGCTGCAGAGCGGAAACATCAGCTTACTGTGGCACCTGTAGGGAAGAACGGGGTGAAAAAGACCTCTTGGTGGCAGTACTGTGCATTTAACAAAGCCGAAATAATTTTCTAGCCTGTCAAAGTTGGTGTAAATGATTTGAGGGTGTCCTACAGGATAATATTTTTTAGATTGCACTGTGGGATAGAGACTGGTGAAGTCACAGTAAAATATTTTTTCATCACATGCAACCTTGTGGTACAGTTTTAGAGCATTTGTGCAATCGCCAAAAAGGGTGTCTCCGAGATTCAAGCATTCTGGCTTTCTGTATGTGTGCATGAAAGCCGCAACTGCAGGGTCTGTCTGCTTCAAGGCAGCCCATTTGCATTCCCACACCACAACAACACTCAAACTGTGTTGTGATCTCAGCGCATCCACTTTGTCACAAAACATACGATGAAGCAGTCAATAGGATGCTTTGCTGACAGGATTAACTTGACTCTCGGGGTAGCATTTAACACAACCATGGTGAAAACATCCAGCAAATTCGTAAGCTGTGTTGTGGGGTCAAAGCTGTCCACAAAATACGCCCAACCCGCTGTTCGCCTCCTCTGAGAGCGTGTTTTATCACTGTGTTGGTGGTGTGGGACACATATTGAAGCCATTCAATAGAGACGTTAGAAAACGTCTTATTTTGCTCGACGTATGCACCATCATACGTGAGAGCAAGCGTGTCTCTAGGCAGAAACAGTGTTTTATACACACCCATACTGAATGCAGCCAGGGTGATATACATGAATGGATCAACTTGTGTACAACCCAGTAGGGTGTCACGATAAATGCTGCATACTTCACGCAAGACATCAACATCGTTAACACAGTAGCGCCTGAGTTCATCCTGAAAATCAAAGGGGTTCTGTGAGGCGGTCTGGTACCATTCCATGAAGCTCGCCTTACCACTTTCAGACATGCGCTCATAGCCATAGAAGGAGGGGTCTGCGTACAGACCAACATGATACTCATTATCCCTCATATTGAATCTGTGTGGGAAAAGGCCCTTCTGCAGGTCTTGAAAACCTAAAGCAGAGGGTATTTTGGCAAGGCCCATGGGCAAAAAACTGAACAAATCAATAAACCGCTGATCATAGTCCCTGTCATGCATCAAAATCACATGGCTCCCTCTCATTGTGACGGTAGGTGTTATGCCCTGCTTGACAAAGTACTCCAGAAGTATGTAGTTATCAAACCCTGATGCATTATGTGCTATGAAAGTGTACCCCCGAAACCTTGGGCGTCTGTAATGCTGCACAAACGCACACAATTTAACATATTAAATGAGAACTTGTTGCCCTTCAGATTAGATGCACACACAAAGTTAGCCTCATGTTTGCCGTTGTGATACCATGTCTCACAATCATATAAAATATATTTATCACAAGGGTTCTGTTGTTAAACAGGCTGTATGAAACACTGATGCTCAGAGTCCCCGGCTAACTTAGGCTCACGGCAGTGCTCACATTTAGGCTGGACACATCTGTGTGGTGATTTCTTTGATTCTTTATATGTGACACCACAACTCAGGCAATGCTTCATATTGTCACATGGGACCATGTTGTGTTTTATTTCTGGTAATTTGTGTTGTTGGTAACAGTGTTGTGATTTGCAGATGCGGTTACAGTCACTGCATTTCACGGTGGGACCGCTGTGGTGGTGACAGTGTGAAACATATGTTGCATCTATATTTACAGCTGTGATAGAGCGGTGCTTCAGATGCCCCGAGAAAAGCTGTTGGCCTTTCAATCAGGTGATAGTGTTCATTGTGCAGATACAACATTACTGTGTTTGGGTTTGGCTCATCATGTGTCAAAAAACTAAGCAGACATTTACGCCCTGCTGCGTGATAATAGATTACTATCTTAATGTTTAGGTGTTTCTCAAATTTGCCGACATCAGAGAATGATACTGGCTGTGTGTCGCATAGACCTATTCAAGCATGTAACTGTTTAGCAGTAGCAAGTTTTTCATGTTCAGAGGATGTTGAGTTTAATGAATGCGCTATGCACAGGGAGAAGCACAAATTGTTGTGTGTGTTGTTTGGTGTGTACAAATGTTTACCCTTCTTTGAGAGAATCTCATCATAAGGGATGTTTGCCAATTTTAAGCGAGCACCGCCGATACTGTTTTGTGCAACCTTGACAATAATCTCTAAATCATCATCACTGATAGATTCGTCATTACTTTGCATAACTTGTGCTATTTGATCAAGAAACATGTCAGGGTCATACTGATCATCAGGATTTAAAACAGCTTGAACATCAGAAGCCAATGAAGGGCCTCGCAGGACCACATTTAGAACGCAGCCCTGCTGAGATCCAGCCACAGCTCTATCTATCACATTGGTTAAGCAGTTTCTAACTCTTTCTGGCACTTGTTCTGCATCATCAAGACTTATGTCCCTAAAATCAAGGCGCTCACGCAATTCTCGGGCGTTGAAATTAGGTATCTCTCTCTAATACTAATCTAATAACAGCATAATCAGCAACAGGTTCAGAATGAGTTGGACCAGGCCGTGCATTAGACACAAGACCGCCTGCTACAGACACACTACTAAGTCTTGCACGCAAAATGTCACATTTTGCCCACTGGTTAAAAGTCTCGAAGTCAAACCATTTAGCTCGAGTGGAGGTACCATTATTGTGTTTAAATAATTTACTGGGTGGGTCCATGGTGTGGATTTTAAAAGTCAGCGATTTAAAAATCTGCTGCTGATGAGATCTAATAAACCCCAGGTTTTGTTTATTGCCTGGGTGATACTAGTTAGAGCACCTGCTATTTCTTGCAGGTCCCCCTGTTCTGCTTGTTGATGTTGGTTGAATTTAGCATCGATCAAAGATAGTATATCGTTTTTTGAAGCAGAATGACTCTGTTCAGCAGTAGAGGTGCTTGTAGCATTTAAGTATGCATCATATGTGATATTTCAGAGTCTGTTATACACAGTGTTGGGGAGTAACGGAATACATGTACCGCCGTTACGTATTTAAAATACAAAATATGAGTAACTGTATTCCGTTACAGTTACCGTTTAAAAAGGTGGTATTCAGAATACAGTTACTTTGTTGAAATAAATGGATTACACTGCGGTACTTTCCTGTTTCATTTTGTCGGGTCAGGACTGTTTGGGTTTTGTTTGACAGCTACGTGCTGTTGTTCCAGGCGGCAGCTTTACGGTTGCCATGGTTACAGGGCGATGATATTGAAATCTGGCTGTACTCAAAAACATCGCTGAAATCAAGAGGCAGGCACTCACTCGGGGGTATGTATGTATGATGAAGAATGGTTCTGAGTCTCCACTGTTACACAAAGCTTGTGGTTTTTCTTGTTGTTATTGTTCTGGGAGTTCAATATCACGTAAATATTCCAAAAGCATCAAGGGGTCTTCATGGTCCGCATCATGGGAAGGGGTTGTGTGATTGCTGTGGAGATAGACGTGTGTTAAAACATTATAAATATATATATACACAATGTATCATTTCGAAAACAGGATATGCATGGTCTTTTTCTTTTGAGTTATTTATGACTATACTCACACTTTGGCCTGTGTTATTCCAGGTGGTCCCAGTTCTCGACACGCAACATACTCTGTCTCAGGCCTGGGGTATTAGAACATTTGTAATTATTTAAACCTTTTTTCTTTTTTTAAATTGGTTGACATGTATACAGAGACTTGTTTACATACCTAACGTAAGGCTTGGTCTTATCGCCCCCGCTTCTGTAGGTTTTTCTGGACAGCTTATTAACCTTGTGGCCGGGGGGAAAAGCACAGTTAATACTCGGAAACAGGTAAGATTGTTTCTAAAACAATGAGACATAGCAGAAATATACTGTTTTGTGTAAGCGGATGACTATTTTTTAAAAAGAAGAAACACAAACCTTGTGTATGTGAAACGTATGCTGTCCCATTGTGACAAGCGCCTAAAAATCAGGCTTTTGTTTTAGAAAAGAAAACAGATTGAATATCCTATGATATGCTGTGATATAAATTTAAAAATACAATAATAGTCTTGTTTTACTTACCATATATGAAGTCCATGTTAAAAAAAGAACGCTGTTAGCTTTGCTGACCGTCCGGCTGAACGAAATGTTGTGCTTGTGAGGGCAGTTGTGTAGTACTGAGGAAAAGTACAGTGTATCTGATTGGGGTGTTTTATATAGGTGGGGTTGGTTTCAGTTGACCTCTGACATGAAGAGATAAAGAGCAGGTTGTAAAGAAAAAAGGTGGAAAAACTATGGAACTACAGTTGGGATGTGTGTGCTGGGATGCTCTTGATAAGGAAGCCGCTTTTATTGTTTTATGACTTGTTTTGCTGACTGGAAGAAAAGGTGCAGGTATACCGTCATGGATTAACATAGACCCATCTTCTCTGTCTATTTGACTTTCATCAACTCTGCAGTGGCTCCATCATCCCACAGGGAAAGTCCAGCATAGAGCGGCTGAGTGAATGTGGTCTGGACTCTGTGGAGGAGAGTCATGGTTTCAGAGATGCTGTAGAAAGACAGAATACCTGCTCTGTGATCCAGGTACACTCCTACTCTGGAGGACCGAGGACCTGAGAGGTCAGTTTGGACTTTGTTGTGCAAATATTTGTAACTGTTTGTGTAACAATATGATACCCAAGATTTATCACTGTTTCCAAAAAAAGAGTCAAACCCTGCTCTGCTGATAATCTTGTATGCAACTGCTACACAAACTCCTCTCCCTCTCCACTCCACCTCCCAGTAACAACGTCCAGTCAGACTCTCTCTACTCAGGACCTGATA